GTAGTAGTAGTAGTTGTAGTCGTAGTCGTAGTCGTAGTAGTAGTAGTAGTAGATAGTAGTAGTAGTAGTCGTAGTCGTAGTAGTAGCAGCAGCAGTAGCAGCCGTCGATTGTAAGACGACATATATAAGGCGACCACTACATTGCCCGACTGCCTGTTCATCCCCATGGTTCTTGTCAGTACTATGCCCAGGGTGACGGTGCTGCTGGTGTCGTGGTGGTGCTGGTGCTGGTGCTGGTGGTGGTGGTAATGGTTCCGATGACGAGTCTGAACTCATGCATGTGAACTGGACAGGAGAACCGGGCACCGTACAGTTCGGATTGGAGACGCGGAAATGGGCCACCACGGCTGCATTGGACTTGCTTCGGGCGGAATGCTTCACGGGCCCATTTAAGTCCTCCAGTTGTGTGTGCAGGTGGGGCCGTGCTTCTCGCAAATTCTCGGAGGGAAAAAGGAATAGACACCATTTTCTGCATCCCTATGCAGCAACTGGCAGCTGTAAAGGTTGGGCCCAGGGGTGAGATAAAGTCCGAAATGCCCTCAAACCCAAATCCCGTCAGCGGTGCAGCAGCAACCCTGGCTGACAATAACCCTTACAGTAACCCTTACCATAGCCCGTATCATACTCCTCAAATTCTAGACCAATCTGGAGCGAAAATATCGGAGACTCCTTGGTTTTCAGGTTCGCGACGAGTTGGCACTTTGGCGGCAGTTGGGATCTTGAGATCCTGAGACGCTTTAAGGGTTGTCAAAGAGGCTTCTCTTGCAGGGGGTTTTGAGGAGGGCTGAGAGCTTGGGTACCTTATTTTGGGGGTCCTCATATTAAGGATCCTACTTTTTGGGGTTCTATATAAGGGTCCCCTATTTTCGGAAACCCCTATTTGTAGACTTTCCTTTCCTCGAACGGTCCGCCGTCGGAGATGCCAACTTGTATCCATGTGTCTGCAGCATCTGAAAAGGCTTAGGTCTTTGGAAACGCCTGCCGGGACGGGCGGCTGCTGTGTCTCAAACCCACGTTGCCAAGATGGTTGCAAGTGCAGGAACCCTGCAGAAGCTGGCTTTAGGCACTAGGCCACTAGGCCACTAGGCTAGTTCCGGCAGGATGCTGTGGGTCCTCCTTGCCACATGTGTTCTGCCCTCGGGTGGTGACGGCCCGTTGGTCACTTCGACATCCTCGACGGCACCCCCTGCCGTCAATGGCACCTGCAATTTCGCTCGTGGATATCGCTACATCTCCATAGGGGCTGCCGGAGGGATTTCTTCTTCTTCCTGCTCTGCCAGCTGGGATTTGCATGAGGTTGAGGCCTTCACAAGCAACGGTCGGCGGGTGACGATGTCCGCGTCCTCAAGTTCGGGTTGGGATAGTGGCTACCCACCCAGTAAGGCTGTGGATGGCGATACGAGCACATTCTGGGCAGGCGATCACGACGTTGGAATGAGTTGCAGCTGCTGGGATGACTCGAAGAAAGATGGTCAGATTCTGACTCTCGACCTTGGCAGCAATCAGCAGGTCACACAGCTGAACCTGTACCAAGGAGGCAGCGGCAACGATTGGGCGGTAAAGCGGGTGAGGTTACATTGCCATGATGCCCTGCCCTTCTCGTCATCCTCGGACGAACCTCTTGAGATAGATGTGTCGGCAGGCGTGACATTCATCCTCTGCAGTGGCCAGGGCTGTACGACCGCTCTTTCTCCAGCATACTACGATACTTGCAAGGGCGTCGGCGCCAAGCTGGCCGGTGGCCTTGCAGCAGTCCTGGCTATGCTTGTACTGCTTTGATTTGACACGTCGTTGATCTTACAGTGCAAAACAATGTGGGGCTCCGGTTTCGTCAGCAGGGCTCGACCCTGGTACGAGCCCCATAAGTAGATGTCTCACTTGGCACCGGGCTGCCGCCTCTGTGGCTCCACGGCGTTCTTGCGTCCCGAAGGAGGCTCGGAGGCGCAGGTCTCTCTGAGTTCGACTGTTCACTTGGGTTTTAGGGACAGTTTAGGAAGGCAACGCAGCCTTGCCGAGCCTCTTCAGAGTTTTCTGTCGTTCGCCTGTGGTGCCTTCACGGAGTCTGACGCACCACCGTTGCCGCTGAAGGCGGCCACATCGACTCGAACTCTGCACGCTCACCAAAGGTCTATGCAGTCCTGTGTTGAGTTAAGAACAAAGGCATGCATGCATGTATGCATGTGCTTATGCATGCCTGCGGAGGTTGGTCTGTAGGTGGGTGGGCGGGTAGGCAGTCAGGTATGACTGTATGATGTCTGTTTGTCTGTCTGTCTGTCTGCCTGCCTGCCTGCCTGCCTGCCTGGCTGCCTGTCTGTCTGTCTGTCTGTCTGTCTGCCTGCCAAGCTGCCTGTCTGCCAGCATGATTGCATACATGCACGCATGCATGCATGTATGCTGGTATGTATGCACGTATGCAAGTGGCTATATAGATATGTATGCCAGGAAGTAAGTATGCACATACCGTATGTTATGTATGTTGTCTCTGTTATGTGTGCTATGTATGTTACGTCTGTTCTGTGTGCTATGTATGTTATGTATGAGATGCATGGTATGAACGGTATGTATGTTATGGCTGTCATGTCCGTTCTCTTTGTTTTGTCTGGTACGTATGCTGTGTCTGTTATGTGGTTACGTCTCTGATGTGTTTCAAGTATGTAACGTATGTAATGTACCGAAAGTGTGTTCTGCACTTATGTGTGAATGAACGAATACGTACATGTACGAAGGTCTGTACTCGTGCTTGCTCGCATTCACGCAGGTCTGTGCGTACGTATGTATGTAGGTTTGCAGCACTGCATGTATGTATAAGCGTGCACCTGTATGTATACGTGTGCATGTATGTGCATGTGTGTGTATATGTATAAATGTTTATGTGACACGTTTATATGTAGACACGTGTATATGTATATATGTGCATGCAAATGCATACCTATATGCAGACGTATATGTCTACGTATATGTATATGTATATGTATTTGCATATGTGTCGCGACTGCACCAATGATGCTACGCACCCCACAGCTACTCAGAATTCGCTCAGTCTAAAGAATTCATTGGCGTGTGCAGGGCTTGTTCCACGGGCACCCCTCCAGAATGCGACTTTCGTAACCTGTGGCTCAAGGTCACGACACCAAGAAATCTCCAGTATCTGGGTGCTCAGTATGAAGTATATACTAGTTCTGTTGTCACTGCAAAGGATTGAATTCTTAAGGTGATGCTGCTGCGGATCCTCCTTGCTTCATGGTCTGTTCTGCCCTCTGGTGGTGATGGCCCGCTAGGGACCTCGACATCCACGCCGACAAATGCAGTTTCGGACTCAGACCCGAACATCTGCAACCCCGCACGTGGATATCGCTACATCTCCATAGGGGCTGCCGGAGGGATTTCTTCTTCTTCCTGCTTTGCCAGCTGGGATGTGCATGAGGTCGAGGCCTTCACAAGCAGCGGTCAGCTGACGCTGTCCGCGTCCTCAATGTCGGGCTCGGATACTGACTATCCACCAAGCAAGGCTGTGGACGGTGATACGGGTTCATTCTGGGCAGGCGACCACGACGTCGGCATGAGTTGCAGCTGCTGGGATGACTCGAAGAAAGATGGCCAGATACTGACTCTCGACCTTGGCAGCACTCAGCAGGTCACACAGCTGAAGCTGTACCAAGGAGGCAATGGCAACGATTGGGCAGTGAAGCGGGTGAGGTTGCATTGCCACATGTCCGTGGCCTTCTCCTCAGCCTTGAGTGAACCTCTTGAGCTAGATGTGTCAACGGGCGTGACAACCATCGAGTGCAACGACCAGGGCTGTACGGCCGACCTCCAGCCGGACTACTACGACACCTGCGCTGGCACTACGAGCGACAGCGCCCATCTGGCCGTTGGCCTTGCAGCAGCCTTTTCTGGCATTCTACTGCTCTGATTTCTGTACCTTGCAGCGTGTGTCTGGCACCACGTCCACTTTTCATCCCGGAGGAAGCTCGGAGGCGGAGGTCTTTGCAAGTTCTACGGTTCACTTACCCCTAAACCCTAAACCCCTTGGGTTTAGGGCCAGCTTAGGATTTGTGATGTGAGGCTTTAAAGGAATACAACGCAGCCTTGCCGAGCCTCTTCAGGGTTGCCTTTCGCTTGCCGCTGAAGGCGGCCACGTCGACGCAAACTCTGGCAATACCCTGGGCTCCGAGTGAAAAGTTAGAGTGTAAGAGTCCGAATAGTTCTTGGTATTCCCGCTTACAGTCCAAGAGGTCGTGTGTACATCTGTATAAGTATATAGGTGTACAAGTACGTAAATAAATACAAGATATATATGTATGTATGTATTTATGTATGTATGCATGCATTCATGTA